CGCCGCGGGCGCCGCGTCGCGGGCGGCGCCCTCCCTCCGCGCCCCCGTCCCCCCCCCGGGTCGGGCGCCCGCCCCTCGGCGGCCGCGCCCCCGCCCGCCGCCCCCCGGCCCCCCCCCCCCGCGCGCCCGTTGCGGTTCGTTGTTTGCATAGTGTAAAGCTGTGTGAGGCGCCTAGGGTCTCTAGGTTGTGAGGGGAGGACAGGAACGCTCGCGCCGCGCTGACCGTTAGCGCCTGAGGGGAGGCGGCGGGCGGTGTGGGGCTGTGTGGGGAGCAAATGGAGGTGAGAGAGAGGAGCGGTAACGCAGCCTCCCGCTGTCCCAGCACCTGCTGCCTGTCCACCTGCGTGTGTCATTCGCCACGCTGCGGTATCCTGACGCTCTGTCCCGGCTGTGGGGTGAGCGTAATGGAACGCGGCTGCTGCCCCAGCCCTGTGCTGAGGTGCTTGGCTCGGTGCTGCTCTGCACTCGTCCCCGATGTGGGCTGTTTGAGAGCGGTCGCCTTACTTTCTGTGCTTTCTGTTAACTGCGCTATTGGGAAGCTCTGAAAATGAATTCTGGTCAAGACGCAGCTCGGTTGTGGGATTGCTTCTCTATTCCTGATGTATCGGTGTGCAACTTTTCCATATTCAGTTTGACTTTAACGAGACGCATGGGTTTTAGTGCGAGCAGGTGATAAATGGGTAAATCACGGTGCTCCCGAACGCCGGCTGCATCTCCTTGCAGCACTGAGGTGTTGAAGTGGGAAGGCACTGACATCTGTGTGTGGGAGCAGAGCCTTGTGTGCGCTGCCCATGCACGGTACCAGTGCCCACCGTCTGCACGAAGGTAAGGAAGGATGCTGAAAAACGAGTGCTGGATTTGCAGTGCTTTATTATGTGCATGGAGTGTTTGTTTGGATTCCTCAATTATTTTCTTTCTGTTTCCGATGCGATCAGTGCTTCAGTCCAACAGCAAGCCTTGCTGGTTTGTTTAAGTGAAAGACACCAAAATGTCATAGTGTGGGTTGAGGTAGGTATACCTATGATATTTTCACTTCTTGGTGGCTTTAAAGCCAAGTTACAAAGCTGCAGTCCTGCTGGTGCTAATATTTTATTTGAAATCATAGAGTTAATAATACTTTATAATGCTTTTCTAGATTTTATTTTAGCAATAAGCTATTTCCTACTTCATTATTTTTTCAGCTTTTTTATTTTTCAGAGTGGTAGCTTGGTTGAGTGTGGTGAGGAATGGCTGTTCAGGAGGTGAGAGTAGGGAGGAAAGGCTTTTACTTTGAGATGTGTTTTGTCTATGGAATTGCATGGAGCAGCTATGAGGTAACAAAACATGACGTCATGTGGTGAGGTTAATCTGGTTTAGGTTTTAAAATTTGTTTTGACTCGCTCACCTCACTCATTATTTTTAGTAAGTAGTTTCATCATGTGTATACAAAAGCATTTACGGAGCTGCTATTTGTCTACTCACATTTTTCTGAAACTATGAGTTATCTTGTGTATGCGTTGGTCTATTGAAATCCTGAGTGTGCTGCTGACTTATGTTGATTCTGAAAATGGCCTGCAATTAATGCACCTGTTAAGTGTCTTTGATTCTGTTGGAACCTATGGCTATGGTGTGCTTCTTAAGATGTAGGTCTTCTGTTACCTTCTCCTCTTCCAGTCATAAAAGAACATGTTCAGACTGTTCAGCAGAGCTCCAGGAGTGTCTGAGCATTCTGTCATTGTAATATCCCCACACTTATTCTGTAGGTGTAAATGTCACATGTTTACCTGTCTCTTAATTCAGCTTCTGTTGCATGACTAAATGTAGCAGTGGAGAGGAGCTGGTGCTGGTAGGATTCTTTGCATCAAGCTCTTGCTATTCCAAGGTCTTCAGAATGTTGTCCAACCAATGTATCTGTGTGGTATCTGTTGAGTCATGGCCTGAAGCACTGGGCACCTGGGGAAGGGACCTGGTCAGCCCTTGGTGCACAGGTGAAGGCAATTCAGCTGTGTGACCAGAGGGGGTCGGGTCTGACTGCCCCTCTTTTAGACTTCATTGAAGGGCTGTGTGCTGCTGGGGGAGGATCTCAGTTTGGAGATTCCTCCCTTGTGGAGTTTTCCCTGTGAACCTAAGCCTTTAGAGTTGGGTGAGCGCTCTTCCTTTGTAACGCCGTTCATTTGCATTAGTCCCTTTGCTACTGTGTTCCTATATTGCTGTTCCACTGTGTTGACCTTTCTGATTGTTGCACTGTCTTACTGGTTTCTCCAACTGGAGTTTGTGCTGCTCTTAGTCTATGAAGACGCATCTCTGTGCTTGAGTATCTTTTAAAGTAACTTGACAGTCCATGTTCTGTGCAGGCAGTACTTTATTCTGTCTTTGTAAAGTCACTGTTTGAACATGAATTAACAGTCTTAAGTCCTGTGTTCAGGACTTCAGGACTCTGTGATTCTCTGTGGTTAAAAATATTTTTAAAACTGGCATAGGAACATGGGTTTAAAATTGCCTGGTTTTCTTTGTTTTATACAGTTGCTTCTCTTTGACATAGGAGGTAACCCCTAATACTTAAAATGATGGGCAGATATTAGGGGTAGGACATCTATGAAATAAGCTGTTTAGTGGTAACTTCGTACCTTTAAAGACCAGAGTAGTTGATTTAAATTTGGAAGCATCTTCAAAATAGTTGGGTTCAATTTCTTTTGAGTGTTTTTAGTCATGTGCATGTCAGAAGGCTTGTGGATTTTGTTAGCGATTGGGTAGAACCAAATGTAAGTGTAGGTAAGATAACCTGTGCATCCTGTTAATGAGCCTCCATTTTTCCTGTTCATCTCACACACGCAATCCACTTCTTGTTGCTCCTTCAGCCAAGCCAATGTTGGGTGTCTGTAGCACAGCCTTTAATAGCAGCCAGCCCTCCCTGGTAGGGTGCTCATTGCCTGGCATTGCTTGGCAGGGCAGCAGTGGTATTCTTTTGTCTGTTTGTGTTGTGGGTAATTCTGAGCTGCATCTCCTCTGGTGACCTGAAATGTCTGATAAGAAATTGCTCTTATGTGGTGTGATAAAAATATCAACTCTAAGGTCACATTTTGCTTTGTTTAATACATTTCAAAGCTAATGATTATGAGAACAGCAGAGTGTGGCTAATGTGATAAAAGCTGTGTGAGTTATCCACGTTCTTCTTGGTCTTCTAGAGTCATTGCAAAGCAGCTCTAGCTATGAGATGGGAAAAGAGAATGTTTTGTTGATATAAGCTAATTAGTTAAATATGCACCTTGCTTTTGGTTAATAAGATTTGACCTTCTGTACTGTGAAGAATTTTTGGTTTTGTCGAGTGATTAAATATGGTAATTCTTCAAGAGTATTTTCTCAGATCTTGAGACTGTTTTTTTTGGGAGGGACGACTGATAGTTACATGTGTATTCCTGCTGGAAGAAATTTGAGCAGTGTGGTTGTGCTGTTTTAACCAAATAGCTGCCTATTAATCAGAGATACCAAATCAACAGGAAGGTTGTTTTCCAGCCTTGCAGTTTTTCATCATTACTGTTACTGCTAAACTAATAATTGCTTAATAATGTGAAGGATATCTAATCTGCTGTGTGTGTCTGAGGAAAAGTTTGACCTCATGATGGCTTGAGACTGGTGGGCTGCAGGCTTCTAGAAAAATCACTTCTATCCAAATAGAAAATGTGCTCAGTGAGGTTTCCTGCTTCTACAAACAGAAATGCTTCTTAGCTAAGAGTGATCTCCCGAGTCCTTCAGTTCCTGAGCTCATTTGTTTTCGTGTATTTTGTTATCTGAGCATTTGTCTGTGGAGTGGGCTTGGGGTTTCCCTTGCATGAGAAGGGCACCTTCTCATCACCTGCTTTCCAACTTCTTGTGACAACGTATTTAAGATTTTGTTTTAATTCTGGAATTGACTGAATTTTGCTCAGATTTTAAAAGCACTGATTAGCTTCACAATAAAATGTGCTCGAATGCTTGTACCAGATGTGAACTTTATCTAGTGAGCTGCTTGAGCAGAGATACCACTGCAGCCCTTGGCTTGCTAAGGAACTTTAGAGTAAGCTAGAGAGCTTGGACATCCACTTCATAATGTTATCTTTTAACTGATCTTGGCATGTCAGAATAATGTTGGAAGCATGGGTACTTTACTGAAGTCAGCCTGTCTGAATTCCTCATGATCACTGAGGCACTGGAGACTGCCTCCTGCCTTGATAATAGAGCAAAATGCTGTTTTTTCAGTAACAACCATTCCTGTCTAAGGTAATGCTCGCTGCCCCAGTTTTCCCTGTGTGCATCTTGGTTATATAAGTTACAGCTACAAAGAAAATAGGTTTAAAGATTTAAGATTTTTTTTTTTAATTGGCAAACTAAAACTGCCTTTTTGGAATACTTTTCTTTCCATTTCTAAATCTAAAGCAGCTCTTCGAGCATTTAATGATTGGGTATTTCACATCGCAATTTGAACTTGCTGAACCAACTCATGTTTTCTTTCTCACTTAACTTCTTTCCAAAAAGCATTTGATCTGGTTTCTAAACCATTTAAAAGTATTAATCAAAGCCTATGCCCAGACAGTGAGCTTGTTGTAATACTAGGTTTTCAACTGGAGATCCTTTGGGTGTGAAGGAAAGAGGGGTAGGTCTCAGTGTTGTGAGTAGTGGTGAAGCCCACAGGTGAGTGATATCTGTATCAGCCAAGGGGAATGAGAAGTGGGGAGGAGACAGGAAAGCCAAGTTGCTTTTGCTGTAGATATGTCAGCTTGTTGACTTGTTAATTTCAGTTTACTCAAAAAGCAGGAGGAGGAAATGCTGATGTCTGCAAAAGCGCAAGTTATTAGTGGGAACCAAAAGGTGTCTAATGATTCTTACAAGAACTCAAGAGAATTAAACTTCTCTAACTAAATTCT